AATAGTATATATATTATATATATATATATATATATATATATATATATATATTTATATATATATATATATATTTTATTTGTATTTTCATTCTATATATGTAATTCTTATTTAATCAACTAATTTTTCTCTAAATAATTTTTTCAATTTTTTTAATAACTAATTAATTATTCATACAAATGATATATTTCTCCTAATTCTGATTAAAATAAATATTAATAATTTATATTTTTTCTGAAAAATATTTTATCAACCTAATAATAAATATGTCATTTAACAATATTCATAAATAAATTTATATAAAAATTTAAATTAAGCATTTAAATAATATTTATATAATAATTATATTTTTTTTTTTTTAATGTAATATATTTTTTTTAGATATATAATATTTAAATATATTTTTTAAAAAATAATGTATATTTTTCATTTTAATATAAAATTTAACTTATTTTAATAATTATTTTATTCGTTAAAATAAATAATAATACGAATTTAGAAATAATTTAAAAAAACATCATAAAATAAAATATATAATTTAAAATACAAAATTATAATTATTATGAATTTAAAGAATTTCATTATAAAAAATATAATATACTTAAAAATATATTTATATATTTTTTTATATTTATATTAATTAATTATATTACAATCTATTTTTTTTTTAAACTTGGTTAAAATAATTTTGAATATAATTAATATATATATATAAATTAATAATTTAATAATATATATATTTACTTAATATGTTTTTTAAATGAATTAATGAAAATATTTAATTTTTTTTTGCACAAAAGATCTTGTTAAATAATTTATATTTTCTATAATTTAATTAATGAAAATTTAATAATATCATATATTCAAAAACTTTAAGAAAAAAACTCAAAAAAAATTATTATTTTAAATTTAAAAAAATAAGAAAAAAATAAAATAAAAGCTTTTTAACAAATAATAATAAGAAGATAAATTTGCATTAATAAAAAATATTATTTTAAAAAATAAATAACTAAAAACTAAAAAAAATAAAAGAAAAAAAAAAAAAACAATAATCAAAATCAAAATCAAAATCAAAATTAAAAAAAAAAAGTATTCATTGAAAAAAAATTAAAAAAATAATACTAAAAAAAATATTAACAACCCAATTAATAATTAAAAAAAAAAGATGATCTACAATAAATACACATAACAACCGAAAAATAATTCCATTCTTTAATAAAAATACTTTTAAAGTCCTCCTATATAAAAACAATCAATTCCTTAAAAACAGGTTAAAATATTTGAAATCTAACCTAAAAATTAATAAAAAATAGAAACTTAAAAAAAAAATAATTAACAAAACTCTGATACATTTAAAAAATATACTATTTAGTAGACGTCTTTGAGAAATAAAACTGATTATTTGTTTGATTTTAAGCAATTTTTTGAAACTAAAAATAATTAATTAACAACTGAAAATAGCTTAAGGAATAAAAAACCGAAATCCTAGCAATTTTAAATGAAAACAGAACCCTCTATAGATCATGATAGCTAAAATACTATTTCAGTATTTATTTATTTAAAATAAAATGCAAAAATAGGTCCTATTTCTCTATATAATTGCGTCGGTTAGAACATATAATGGCTAACGGAAAAACTTTAAGAAAAAATGGAAGAAATTTACCCCAATTCTAGCTAAAATATGGTACATTTTTAATCATATTAACATAAAAATGTTTCTCTATCATATTATCTATCCCTCTAAGAGCGTCCCCTATAACCTCTTTTCAATAAATCATTAATTGTGGAGCCTTTTTATGGTGAAAAGACAAAAGAAAATAAAACCTAAGTAACTTTAACTGATTTTCATTTTATAAAATGTGTCGGACTAGGTGGTTTTTCCCGCGTTTATTTAGTTAAAAAAAAAGACGACGGTTAAATGTTCGCACTTAAATTAATCGAGAAAAAATTCATTTAAGAAAATAGGAAAGAAGTAATTGTTTAAAATGAAAGAAATATAATGGTTTAAATCTAAAATTATCCATTTTTATTATAAGTAGAATATGCCTTTGAACATAAAAAGTATATTGCTTTTGTTATGGAATATTGTGCAGGAGGAGAGATGTATATATTATATATTTCTTTGTTTAATAACAAAAATAAAAATAATAGGTTTTATCATTTAAGAAAAATAAAAAAAATGAATGAAGATTAAGCTAGATTTTATTTTATTTAAATATGTATAGGTATTTAATTTTTACATGATTAAAAAGTTATATATAGAGATATTAAACCTGAAAATATATTGTTAGATATTGACGGCAATATAAGAATAGGAGATTTCGGATTGTCTAAACCTAATATAAATGAAAATGAATTTGCTTATTCTTTTTGTGGATCACCTGAATATATGGCTCCGGAAATGCTTTTAAAGGTAGGACATACATATCCTGTTGATCATTATACATTAGGGGCTTTATTATATGAATTAATTACTGGGTAATATATATATTTATATATATATATATATACATATTTTATATATTTGTTTTTTAGATTACCACCCTATTATTGTTAAGATGTAGATATTATATATGAAAGAATTTTAAATGAAGAATTAAGCTTTCCATAAAATTTGAATATTTCAAATGAATTAAAAAATCTTTTAAAGGGTTTATTAGCTAAAAACCCTTTAGAAAGAATAGGGTAAAAAAACGGGATTTAGGAAATTTTAAATGATCCATGGCTTAGGAAAGTTAATATATAGAATATATTGGAAAAAAAAGTAAAACCGCCTATAAATATTGATGTAATGGGTTTTAATTTTGATGAGGAAGAATTCCAAAAAGGGGAAAAAGATTATTAAAATAAACTAATAGGAAGCTTTGGGGACTAGGAAGGGTTTAAAGCGATGTTTAAAAATTTTTATTATTAATCTGAGAGGTAGAAAAATAAAAAATAAGAAGGTTATTAAGTAAAAAAGGTTATATAAATTTAACTAATGAAAATAATTAATAATAAGTATAAATTTAGAAGTAAATTGAAAATATTTAAAAATAGTAAATATAATAAGAATATATGTTATAAAAGGAATAATAAAAATAAAAAATATAAATGTAAAATTAAGAATTATAAAAATAAAAATGTTTTATATAGTAAAAACATTAAAGTTTAGAATTTTTAAAAAGATAAAGTTTAGAATTTTAAGAAATTTAAAAAATATAATAATAGAATGTTGAATTTCAATAATAATAATAAAAAAATATTTAGTTTTAAAAAAAATTAAATTTAGATTTATAAAAATAATAAAATTTTGATATTTATAAAAAATAATTATTATTAAAATAATAATAAGAAAAATTATAACAAGAAAAATTAAAATTAGAAAAATAATAATATGAAAAAGAATAAAAAAATAGAGATAGGGAATAATAGGATAGATATTAGTAAGAAAAAGAAATTGAAAAACAAATATAGGAAAAATTATAATATGAAAAAACTAATACGAAAAATTATTAAAAGAAAAAATTTAATAAGAAAAAATATAATAAGAAAAAATATAATAAGAAAAAACATAATAAGAAAAAATAAATTAAGAAAAAATATTATAAGAAAAATTAATATTATAATAATAATAGTAATAAAAATAATAATATTAATAGTAATAATAATAATAATAATAATAATAATATTAATAATATTAATAATAATAATTAAATTAAACAGGTAATTCAAAGCCTTTAATTTTAAATAATTTATAATAAACTTAATATATATAATAATAAAACAATATAAATTCTTATATTTATCAAAATTAACAAAATAACGAACTTTATAATCGTAATTAGGTAAGCAATAATTATTACAAAATAATTATGTTTCACCATAATAATAAAGCTAAATTAAAACTCATTAATCTTAATAACCTTTGCTTAATAACTATTAATAATAAAATAGCTAATATTTTTCTGATACAAATATAGTAGCTTCAAACAAAATACTTAATAATAATTAAATATCTATTTAAAATAATTAAAATAAATAATAAATTAATCCATAGACATAAGTCTTCAAATCAACTGAAAGCTTATTTCCTTAATAAACGTATGTTTCTAATGATTAAAATTAAAATCAAAATTAATAATAATATCCTTATTACTCAAATTAAATAATAAATTAAAATAATTTAAATCAAATAAATAACAAAAAAGTGTTAGTTGAAAAAAAGAATATTTAAGAATTATAAAATTAATATATAGAAAACAAATTTCAATAATAATAATAATAATAATAATAATAATAATAATAATAATAAATAATATTAATAATATTTATAATAAAGCAAATAAAATAATATCAATACTCTTCATATAAAAAATAGTATTTCTTTACCTTAAAATTCAAGAGTTTAAAATAATAATTATTTTATTAATTAACCCTAATTTAATAATACTTATAAGAATATTTCGAATACATCCATTAAAAAATAATAATTTAATACACTTAATTAATTTTCAAATATTAATGATTCAAATATTTCTAAAAGAATTTTGACAGAAGAATATGAAAATATTTTTGAAGATAATAAATAAATTTAATTTAATTAAAGATTATTTAATAATAATAATATTTTAAAAAAGAATGAATTTAATTCTTAATTGATTAATAAAAATATTGGAAGTAGTAAACTTTCATAATCATCATTTAAAAATGGGTTCTATAGTAATAGAAACAGTATTAATGATAATTAAAAATATAATAAAATATTCTAAGAATATAAATTAAGGATATTTTGATTTTAATAAAACAATATATATATTTAATATATATTTATTTTTTTATTATTACAAAAACAATATATCAATTTTTATTTTTTTAATTTTACATTTTTAAATATTGTATATATATATATATATATATATATATATATATATATATATTTTATAAAAAACCTATATTGATATAAATAAAAATTTTATTTTAAATTTAAATAATTTATAAATCAAAAAAGACATTAGTTTTTATAATAATAAAATAATAAAAAGCATATATATAAATTTTACAAATAAAACAAAAAAATAAAAAATATATATAAAAAAAAATAAAACACAATACTTTTTTTCTCAATATTAAGTGTGACTTTCAATTGTTTTTTTAACATTTTCATAAAGGAAAAAACTTGCTGCATTTACAGGCACAGCCCTCATATTTGCAACTCCAAATCCTTTAAATAACTAAGCAGTTCCTTATTAATTAATAGTTTATCTAAAACAATCAATAGTTCCTTTATATTTTCCTCCAACAAAATTGTCGGTTTAAATTTTAGATTTAATAGTATCTATAGGGTAAGTAAAACTCCAATAACCTATACCAGCAAAAGCTCCTGCAAAAAGAGGCGATAAACTTACCAAAACTTGATTTTCACTATATTTTTAAGTAATATCTCTCAAAAGTTTAGTGTATATTCCAAAATAAATAAACATAGCGGGTGTTTCTCTCATTAAAGTAATAAAAAAACCCTTATAAACTCCCTTTATTCCATATTATTTAAATATATTACTAAAAGCAGATATTGCGCTTTTATTATTACTATCTTTCATAACTTATAGTCTTATTCTTATGTGCTCCATTGGAGCTAATACTATACAAGCTACCGCACCACTTATTGCCCCACATATAGCTGTTTAATATATTGGTAAGTTTTTAATTTCTTAGATTTTCTAGAATGTATTTATAGTATTTTAAAATACTCCAAATTATATAGAAACGACACCACTCATGCATATTAAAGGAGATCCGACACCTTTTTAATTTTATTTTTATATTTTTTGATTTTTTTACCTTTATATAATGCTAAAGGACCTTCGTTTTTTATTAGGTTTTTTATTGTCTCAGCCGCATTTATTTTTATTAATGAACTTTATAAACGGACTTTTATTGTGTCAAATGGTTAACCGATAAGGGCTTGTGCAAATCCTGTTTTTATTTTTTAGTTGAGCTTAGTTTTTATTTTGTTTATTACCTCCAAAACATCCTGCTATATAGTCACGATATTAATATAAAAAACAATATTAACTTAAATAAAATGTAGTTTAGTGTTTATATTAGGGAGAAGTCATAATTATATTTTATTTCAAAAATTTTTTATAATTTTTTATATATATATATATATTTATATATATATTATTAATTTTTTAATTTTAATTTTTAGAGGTTATTTTGTGAAGGATAAAAGTTGATTATAAAAATTAAATTTAAACTAGTTATTATTTATATTATATTTTTTCTTCATAATTTAAAATTTTTTATAAAAATATTTCGAATTGCTTATATTGTAAAATATTAAGATAATTAAAAATAAACAATATTAAATAGACATAAATATAAAATATAAATATTAAGGTTTATTTTAATAAAAAATGGTATATTAATTAGAAATATATAAAATAAATTAATCTAGAATAATAATAAAATGTGTTAATTTATTTATTAGAAAATGAAATTAATTTATAATTATAAGTAATATTATTTTCCTTTTTTATATATATAATAGATTTTTTATATATATTAATAAAAGAATTTTTCGAAAATAAAAAATTCTTTTGATGAATGTAAAAATATATATGTATATAAAATATTTAAAATAATAATAGAAAACATATTAAAAAAATAATTTTTTTTAGAATCATTCAACAACTAAAATAAATATATTTTTATTGTTTATGTAGTAAAATATATTTAAGAAATAAAAAATAACATTAAAAAACATATTAAAATAAAATAAAACGTGGAATATAAGAAATAATATAATAGTTAAATTATAAATAAATAAAAATAATATAATTATATATATATATATAAAAATATATAAATATTTAAATATATATATATATATATATTTATATATATTATTTTAATTTTTTTAATTATATATAATTATTTTTATGAAATTATTATATATTTAATTTAGAAAATTTCTATAGATTTAATAATTTTTTTTTAAATTATATCTTTATTTTTCTTATTTAATATTTTTTTATTAAATATTTTTATATTTATTTTATTATATTATTAAAAACAATAATATAAATATTTCTAGTCCTTTTTTTTATTAACATCTTAATACTTTTTTTATATTAATTATTTTTTAATAAAAAAATTTTTTATCTTTTAATTAATTACATTCATTAATAATTAATATCATGAATATTTTTTTTTGATATTATAATAAAAACATTTAATATAATTATTTAAATATTCTATTTTTTAAAATAAAAGAATAATTATAATCAAATAAAAGTTGTAATAAAGAAATAATACTAGATATAAATAATATTTATCATTTAATACTAATTTAAAAATAACACAAATAAAATATATATTATTGAGAACTAAAATATATTTAAAAGTTATAAATTAAATATATATTTTAATTTATTTTTATTATATTTCTAAAAAATCAATAAATATTAAATAAATAAATTTAGAATTTCTAAATAATTATACATTTATTGTTAGAAATTAAAAGGTATTATTTAACTTTTTTAAAAATATTTATTAAGAGATATTTGAAAAAGAATAAAAACTAGAAATTTAGAAAATAAATATACTTTCCTAAGTTAATATTACAAAAAAATTGTAAAGTATTTATGGAGTTAGAATATATAATATATATAAGTTTAAAGAAATTATAATTTATTATTTAAAATTATATTAAAAAAATGAAAAAAATAATAAATATTTAAAAAAAACAAATAATTCAAAAAATTATAATATTTAAAAGTTATTAAAAATTAAATTTAATTATTATAATTATATATATAATATAAAGAGTATAATAGAAATAAAAAAAAATCAGGCACAAAAATATAATATTCATTATCTTATTACTATAAATTTTATTGATTTATTGAAAAATGAACAGTTGTATTTTATAATTTAAGATAAATAATAAATAAAAAACTATATATAGTATTGCAAAAACAATTAAAAATATAAAAAAAATTATATTAAAATATAATTATAAAAAAACTATTATATAAAACTTTATATACAGATTTTCAAAAAGTAATATTTAATTATAAAAAGATTGTAAATAAAAAAAGTAATATTTTAAATAAATAAATAATTAATAATATTTATGATAAATATATATAATTATATATATATAAATATTTAAATAAATATATATATATATATATATAAATTTATATATAAATAATTATCTTTATTATATTATTATTTATATAGACTTTATATTTAACATATATTTTAATATATTCACATAACATTTTTTTATTATTCTATAAAATCAATTATTTTTTGTTTTTTTAAATTGCATCAAATACCAAATTTTAGAAATCTTTCCAATTTTTTAGAATTAAAAAATCTTTATTTTTTATATTTTTTTAAATTTCATTATTAATTTTATCAATTAATTTATTAATTATATCAATTTGTATATTTATATTATTATTTTTTTATTTTTTGTTTATAATTTTTTTAAATACAATATTTAATATTTCTTTTATTTATTTTGTTTCTATATTATTATTATTTTTTTCAAATTTCCAAAATTCTCTCTCTAAAACATACATAAATAAATACCCTCCAATTTTATTCTTTACAAATAGATATTCTAGAAATTATTTTACCGTAAAAAAATTCTTCTCATTTTCTAAAAGTTCTCTTTATTCCTTTATTACTTAAAATGTATATAATTCTTCTTCCCCCTTATATATTTATAGTAGCACCTTTAAGTCCTATATACTTAAAAAACCAATATGTGTAACATCTAAAGCTTAAAAAGCACACCAAGCCTTCCAAACTTACAAAAAATTAGCTTTTTATATAATCTAATCGTCCTCATTATCTTCCATAAAACTATTAAATTCTCCTAATATATTAAAAAATATTTCCTAATTGTTATTTTTATAAAAAACGCATTTTAAATGTGCAAAATCAAATAAATTATTAACACTTTCAACCGTTTTTTCTCCAAAAAAATTTAAAAATACATTTTAGTAATCTTCCATATTGTTTTTGCATACTTAGACTGAATGAGTGAAAGTAAAAAGATGTAAAAATTATAAAAATTCGATATTTGCGGAAAAAGCATTATAAAAATCATCATATATAATACTTTCTTATTATTATAATTAATTATTTAAATTCGTAAAAAATATAAACTAGGAAATTCCTTCGAAAAATTCCTATTTAGGTATTAAAATATTCCAAATTTTACACAAAGACTTAACACAGGTGCATATTGTAAAAATCAACTCAGTCTTTTCTAAACTATCAGAATTATCAAAATCAAATAATCGGAAAATAAAATGAATTTTATTTTCAAATAAATCGCCAGAAAATAAGCATATTAAGGCTAAACTTTCATATAAATCAACCGCCTTTTCAGTCTTTTCTTCATGATTTGCTAGTTAAGTGAATATAGGCTCAGTATCATCGGTTAAAGAACCGAAAATTTCGTCGAATTCTTTATATAAAAGTCTATATGAGGAAGGATAGTGCTTATCTATTACCTCTATACAGTCGAATAAATCGGAAATAGTGTAATTTTTTAAGTTATAAAGTTAGATAAGTAAATTAAGGTTTTAAATTTGAATATTATTGTTAAATTTATGTATTAATTAACCCATATATATATATTTATTTTAATTATTAATTATTATTTATATATTTATATATATATATATATATATATTTAAAAAAATAAAATATATAAATATATATCACAAAAAAAAATGATATATTAAGGATAAAAAACAATTGTATATCCTCCTGGATATGTATAAGTTCAATAATAGAATCATCCTCATATATAATATCAAATAATATAATAATAACATTAAAATTAAATACCTTAAAATAGAATAAATTAATAGACAATTAATAATTCAAGAATAAGTTATAATAATATAAATTAGAATGATTCGTTGTATTAGAGTTAAATTTAAGATTAAAGTCAATATTTAAGTACAGATAGTAGTCATTAAAATTAATAAGAAAACACAAATAATACAGTAAATAAAATTACAGAAACATTATTAGATGAATATTAAAAATTAACAGAAAATAATCTTAAATCATATGTTAAAAAATAATAAAAATTAACTGAAGATAATGAAAAATTAAAATAAGAAATTGAATATTTACGTTCTAATAAAAAGAATAAAAATAATATTTCATTTTTAGTAAAAATATTATATATAAATATATATATATATAATATTATATATATATATATAAATATATATAAATATATATTTATATTCTTTTTTATTTTATTTTTTATTTTAGGATAATGTTGATTATAATAATGATTTTTATGAAAAACATATTGCTTAATTAAAATACGAATGCGAGTTTTATAAATAAAAATATAATGAATAATATAGATAGAATTAAGAATTAAATTTAAATTGTGATTTTTTTAAATAAAAAAGTGTTTATTTTTAATCAAAATTTAAAGAAGAGTCTTTTTTGGATGATTTTTAAGCTAAATTTATAAATTTGTAAGAAGAATTTGATATAAATAAGGATAAATTAAATTATATGTAAAAAGAATTTGAAGATCAGAAAATTTAATTTGAGGAAATAAATGAAGAAAATTTAAAAAAAATATAAAATTTAAAAGAAAATGAATTTAATTACAAAAATGAGAGTATTTTTTGGAAAGAAAATTGCGAAAAACAAAACAACTTATTAAAAGAATAAGGGGAAAAAATAAAAGATTAAAATATAATTATTAGTTAATAAGTTAAATAAATTTAAGAATTATAGGAAAAAGTATAATATATAGAAAAAGAAAAGTAAAAATTATAAAATTATATTAATAAATAAGTTGAAGATATTGAAAATAAAAATAAAAATTAGAATTTATAAAATGAATTATAAATAAATGGATATATTTAAAAAATTAAACAAAATGAAAATATTATTAAGGAATTATTAGAAAAAGTTTAGAATTTAGAAATAGAAAAAATAAAATTATAAAATATTATTAATAAATAAGTTAAGGATATCGAGAATAAAAATAAATATGAAAATTTATAAAATGAATAATAAATAAATGAATTTGTTTAAAAAAATAATTAAAATGAAAATATTATTAATGAATTATTGGAAAAAGTTTAGAATTTAGAAATAGAAAAAAATAAATTATAAAATTTAATTGATAAATAAATTGAGGATATTGAAAATAAAAAAAGAAATTAAAATTATTAAAATGAATAATAAATAAATGGACTTATTTAAAAAATTAATTACAATGAAATAATTATTAAGGAAAAAGAAAATTTATATGATAAGAAAATTTAAAATTTAGAAAACTTTTTAAATGATTATTAATAAAGATATTAAAATTTAGAAAATGAAAAAAATAAAAAAGAATAAAAATTATCAGAAGATTTAATGAATTTAACTTAAAAGATTGAAATTTTTAATGAATAAATTTAAAGTATATAGTCTTATTAACATTAATATTTTTTTTTTTTTCAATAATTTTTTTTATATTTTATTTAATTTTTAAAAATAATTTAAATTTAAATTATTTTCAAAAAAAATAAAAATAAAAAGATTTTTTATATATATTTTTTAAAATAAAAATATTGTTTAATTAATATATAATTTTATATATATTTTTATTTAAAAAAGATTAGAATGAAAATATAAAAATATTAAAAAATTAATTAAAGAAAAAAAATCATTCTATTAAAGTAATCTATAAAAAAAAAAAAAAAAAAATTAATATATAAGAACATATATAAAAATATATATATTTTATAATATATATATATATATATATATATATAGTAATTAGAAAAAGATAATATAAAACTTAATGAATATAAATTTTTATTTGAAGAATAAATTAATAATAAAGAAATTTCATTTTAAAAAAGTTTAATTAACGATAATCATTAAATAATACAAGATTACGAATAAAAAATACATTTATATAAAACCACTATTGAAAATTTATAATAAAATATAAATTCTATAAATAAAAATAATAATTCAAATTAATTAAAACTATCTTAATAATTATCTAAACTTTCCTCAAAAAATAATGACTGTAATTTTTCTATATTAAATAATGATACTTATTCAAATTAAAATAACGATAAATATAGTTAAAGTTGTTCTTAATCTAATATAAGTTCTATCTCACATAATTCTTAAAGGACAAGAGAATAAACTAAAATATTGTACAAAAAATTATCTTAAATGTCAACTGCTACTGCTGCTATGATGAGTGCTAAACATGATTATTAATCTTTAAAAGAATTTACTTTTAATAAACAATGAAAACAAATTATATATTTTTATTTATAATATTTTCTTAATTATAAAAATTTAATAAATAAAAATATTTATATTTTTATTTAAATATAAATATAAAATAAATATAAATAAATATTATTTTATTTTAGACGCATCTTAAAATTTAAATTTATTTTATTTTAAATAATATTAAATATGATAGAAAAATATTAATAAAAATAATAATAATAAAGAAATAATAAAAAAAAATATATATATATATAATATTATATATAAAAAACGAATAAAATTAAAATATTTGAGAGGAATTATATTATTATATAATTTATATATATAAATATATATATATATATATATATATATATATAATTAAATTTATAAAATAATATATATATTTTTTTTTATTTTTAAATTAAATATTATATCTTTATATATAAATAAATTAAAAAATTATAATAATAATAATTATAAACATATATACTAATACATATATTAATATATATATATTAATATATTTTATTTTATATTTTTATATTTATATATATAAAAATTATTAAATACTTTTATTTTAAGTTTTTTTTTTATTTATTTATAAAACGATATTTAATTATTTTTAATTATATTTTTTTATTTATTTTAATATAAAATAAATTTTCAATATATTAAAAAAATAATATATTATATATTAATAATTTTTTTCCTTTTTATATTCAATTAAAAAACAAATATTTTATTATATTATATTTAATTAATAATTTAAATACTAATGCAAATATTATATTTATACAATATAATCTAATTAATATTTTTCTAAATATATTAAAATAATTTAAATTGGTTTTTAACATTCTAATAATATAAATAATATTTACAATTAAACTTTTTGTATAGATTTTAAAAAGAATATCTTTATTAATATTACTTTATATTTTTTATACAAATAATTAAAAATCTTATATATTAAAAAAAATTATTTGTAATTAATTTTTTTGTAAAAATAATAAAAAAATATCTTATTAAAGATTAAATTAATTATTTCTAATTTATAATATTAAAAAAAATATTTTTAAATAATAAATTAAAACTAAATTTTTTTGATATAAAAATAAAAAATATTATGCAATAAAAACATAAATATATTTATATTTATTTATATTAGTACATTTTTTTAAAAACAAAATAAAATAAATATATAATATTAAAAAAAATAATAATTTAAGTAAAAAACTTTTTAATAGTTATTATATATAATTAAAAAATATACATAATTTTTTTATAAAAAAAAATAAATAAATATATGATTATATAATATATATTTGAACTAAATGATATTAGAAGAAAAAATATTTTAAAATATATATATATATATATATATATATATATAATATATATATATATATATATATATAATATA